GACAATGTTGGCCATTTCGGGGGGAGGCAGTGGTCGACACTGATGCGCAGGCAGAGGTAGCGGTCGAGACAGTGGCCACACGCTAAATCAGGTGAAGTGTGCGACACTTTACAACACACGCAGTGATGTGCATGGCGAGGCGCTGGTCACAACCCGGCTGCCACTATAGCCGATGCAGAAGCCTAGGAACTTAGTAACACACAAAGGCTGGCTGTGGTCGACACGCTGGCTGTCACGCTAGCGGTAGCATAGGCTGAGACATTTCTCGACATGCTCATCGATGTGGCGGCCGACGCACTGGTCGACACACTGGCTGATAAGGTAGCAGAGGAAAAAGACTTGACACTTGGCGACAGACTGGGCAACGTGAAGACGAGCCAGTGGTCAAAATTCTGGCTGACAAGTAAGCAGAGTTTAAGGCCGAGAAACTTGGCAACATATTGGTCGATGTGAAGGCCAAGGCACTGGTCAACGCCGTATCTTACCACCAAGCGGAGGCGGAGGCTGGAAGACTTAAGGACGACACACAAGGAAAGTAGAGGCCGAGCCACTTGTCAGCAACTTGCTTGAAGTGCTAGCGAGAAGTTGTGGCCGAGGCCTTCTCGATATGCTGCTTGTCACTCTATCCTAGGCGGAACCCGAGACACTCGGTTACACAAGACACGATGTGGAGGCTGGAGCAGTGAAGGACAAGCTGGCTGACGTGCTAAGATAGACTAAAGCCAGGAGGCCTTAGGACACACTGGATGATGTGCAAGCCCAGGCACTGGTCGATACGCTAGCTGACATGCTAGCAAAGAGGAAGACGGAACCTTTGGTGAAAGAGTGGGCGATGTGTAGGCTCAGGCGCTGTTCGACACGCCGGACGATGTCGAGGCTGGAGTACTACACGACAGACTGGGCGATGTGGAAATCCGAGACTGGTCGACTGTAGAAGGCCTAAATGTAATAAACGGTCCTAAATGTAATAACAATTTGCCCTAAACGTAATAAACTCTTAAGCTGCCAATTACAGTAATTACTCGAATAAGCCCCGCCCTCAAATAAGCGCCGCAGTTTTGGAGAAAAAAGTTTATAAGCGCCGCGGCGCTAATTCGCGTAAATTCGGTGCATNTAGACTAAAGCCAGGAGGCCTTAGGACACACTGGATGATGTGCAAGCCCAGGCACTGGTCGATACGCTAGCTGACATGCTAGCAAAGAGGAAGACGGAACCTTTGGTGAAAGAGTGGGCGATGTGTAGGCTCAGGCGCTGTTCGACACGCCGGACGATGTCGAGGCTGGAGTACTACACGACAGACTGGGCGATGTGGAAATCCGAGACTGGTCGACTGTAGAAGGCCTAAATGTAATAAACGGTCCTAAATGTAATAACAATTTGCCCTAAACGTAATAAACTCTTAAGCTGCCAATTACAGTAATTACTCGAATAAGCCCCGCCCTCAAATAAGCGCCGCAGTTTTGGAGAAAAAAGTTTATAAGCGCCGCGGCGCTAATTCGCGTAAATTCGGTGCATTTCCTTATGCACTGTGAAACTTAACGTTTACAAATAAATTGCCTGTAAACGGCAAAGTAACAGTATTTTTCTAAAAAAAACAATATTTAAGCAATAGAACACTTTTTTCCTGTGTTTGAATAGCCTGATATAAACACTCGAGGGGTTGGGAGAATTCGAGACAGTTATGCAAACCCTCGACGTCGAGCGGAGCTTAATACCATAGCAATACTGCTTAGTACCGTATTTACTCGAATAAGCGCGGCGGCGCTAATTAACCCTCCCACCCAATTCAAATGCGGCGCTTATTTGAGGGCGGGGCTTATTCGAGTAATTACTGTAATTGGCACCTTAAGAGTTTATTACATTTAGGGAAAATTGATATTACATTTAGGACAAAACGTTATTACATTTAGGATTTTGTTACATTTAGGACCATTTATCACATTTAGGCCTTCTACAGTCGACATCTTGGCTGACGCGCAAGCAGAGGTGCAGCGCCGAGACTGTTTGCGTTATATTCCATGATGTCACTGGTTAAGAAGCTGGCTGACGCGCGATAAAAGGCGAAAACAATAACTATTGGCATCAAACTTAGAGACGTGTAGGTTGCGGCACCTGTGGACCCCGCTGGCTGACACGCTATAACAGGTGGAAGCCGAGAGACTTCACGACAAACTGAGTGATTTGGAGACAGAGGCACCAGTAGCCAAATAGCTGCAACCCTAAAGGTGGGGCACTGTAAAACTCTTGGCGTCACATTCGATAATGTGAGGTCGAGGCACCTGTCAACACGATGGCTGACACGCTAGAAGAAGCGAAGGTTAAAACACTTCTCGACACTTGTTGCGATGTGGAGGTTAAGCTACTGTTCGACACGCTGGGTGATGTAAAGGATAAGGAGCAAATCGTCAATTTGGTTACACACTATTTCAGGCACAAGCTGAGACACTTTCGAACACGAAAGATGTGGAGGACGAGAAAACAGATATGGTCGATAAAAATGCTGGCTGAGGTGACGGCACAGGCGAAGGAGGGGACAGTTCTAGTCATACTCGATCATGTGGAAGCCGAGGCACTTTTGGAAACGCAAGTTGACACGCTCTCAGAGGCGAACGCCGAGAAACTTGGGGACACGCAAGGCGATGTTGAGGGAAACGGCCTCTTTGACACGTTGACTGACACCCTGGAAGAGTTTTAAGTTGCGAAACTTGGCGACACACTTGGCGATCTGACGGACAAGATACTAGTAGTATAGCTGATCAGTTGGGGCGGTTATTTTTAGAATGACGTCAATTGCATTGACATCATGCTAAAAATAGCAGACCCCATCTGACCAGTAGTGACACAACACAGTATTTCATCGCAAATTATTTTATTCACCTCAAAGAGTATATCATTGTAGACAAGAAATAATAATAAAGTAATGGCTAATGGTTGCATCATCACTTAACGTGTAGTCTACCAAATTGTCTCTTTAACTTAGATCTTGGTTCGTTGGAAGGTCCTTTATCAGATGAGACAAATAACATATTTTGTTGTAATCTTCGCGTGAACAAATTGTTCATTTCCAATAAGGCATCAGGATAATCGTAGATATTGCGTAATAATGGCAGTTCTGCTGATCAACGTGCGGTTCATAATCTGCTTCTCCGTCATTTCCTCACATCATACTTTTTGAAATGCAATCCGTTGTAGCTGTAGTTTGTTGGAAAACTGACCACCATAAGAGAATTATTTCTCAGCCATTGTTGTCTTTGGACAAACACGCCGCGGGTTGATTATGCAAAAATCTTCAACTTAAGACCAGGTATTGTGTAAAAAAAATGCAATTAAGAGTTAGCCGTTTAGCTTTTGTCTTTTTAAAAAAATAAGCGATTAAGGCATTGAGTTCCCACTTCGAAAAAAGTCATCCAGAACATGTTGTATTTCTTTGCGAAATTGTTATTCTCTGTCTATCGACAAACCTATGAAATACCTGTCGAAAAAACTACAAGACGATTCAGAAAAAGAGGGCTTTTTTAACCCTGACTGGATAGTGAAAAATCTATTATGTGTTCAACATACAAACGCGCTCTCCGTTCAATCATGATTTCATTCTTAAAAGTCCAGTTTGCTCGGAAAAAAGTCTTAACTCTAACCAATATTCTTTGAAACATTGTCGAGCGTCAAAGGATAGACAGTTTTATTGGACATGTATTCTAACTGACTTATGCGGCTTTGGTTGACAAACTCATCCAACAAGAAAAGCTGAATCACTGCGACGGTTGTGCTATTCGACACCCAAGTCAAAACCAACATTCTTGCCTCATGATGGATAATGATGACGCATGGATGTATTACCACGATGAAGTGGTGGAACAAATTGACCTGAATTCTATGCTGAACGCTACCGAAAGTAATGCAGTGCTGTCGGCTTCAAACTAGATAAATCATGGGAAGCGTACTGCCAAGTATTGTCGTGGACGAGTATTTACCTTGCTTCTATGGAACTTGATGTTGTCCAGCAGGGTGATGATCTTCAAAGCCATATTTTATACGCTCTATACTACCGACCAAATGGGCTCACATGGAAGGATTTCAGTGATCAACAAGAAACAATAGAATGCCCTGATAGAGCCGTGAGAAAAGACGAACACCAATGGACCTTGACATGATAATTAATGACATTCAAAATAAGCTTTGTTTCTAAAACAATAAAATTTGTTCATGATGACTAAAATTTTGAGTCGGTGTGTGTTTGTCTCTGTCTTTGTCAAGATGGGGCTTTCTCTGTCTTTGCTTCGAGTCGACTTTTCTCTGTATCGCATTGTATATAAAGAGTTTTCCTTTATGTGTAAAAAAATGTCATTTGTTCATAGTTTGTAAATTAATATGGTTTAAAATACTAAAGACAGTTTGTTGTCTGTCTAGCCGCGCGCGCGCTCGTGCGTGCGTCACGCGCGATTCAATCACCCGCACCCGCGTAAAGGAAAAACACAGTGATATACAAGGCCCTTTTGGCCCCCTGTGGCCCCTGTGGCCCGTTCTCAATAGTCATAAACTTCGGGTCATTAGCGGTTTTATTCAGTTGATATCGAACCTTCGTACCGTGAACATCATGGGTAAGCGTGTCTGTCGTCATTGCCCGATACCGGGATGTCACTCTAAATTTTTAGTTCGATTAGTAAACCATTTGGCTTAGGTACACGAGCTGTCTGACTTAGAGAGAAAATATTGGCTCCAGTTTGCCAAATTACAAAATACCAAGATGGTTCGAGTTTATGATAAAGATACTCCGCCAAAGACCATCTCGCTATAAATAAGAGCAAACGCAGTTGAACCAGTCAGTTGTCAACATGGATTCAAGGTGGAAACACCCCTTTCCTGCTATTGTAGCTGGCCACACTTGTTGTGGAAAAAGTCATTTTGTCAAACACCTGTTGGAATCTGGAGAAGAATTAATAGACGGAGATCCTGAAAATATCATTTGGTGTTATTGAATATACCAACCGGCTTACAATGAAATCCTAAGGACTATTCCCAACATCACGTTCGTCGAAGGATTTCCTGGTGATTTAGAATCTATGATAAACCCAACCATTCGGAATTTAGTGGTCATTGACGATTTAATGGAGGAGTTTAGCAATGATCAAAGAATTACCAATTTGTTTACTAAGGGCTGTCATCGCCGAAATTTAAGCGTTATTTTCATTCTTCAAAATATTTTTCACCGGGGAAAAGAACTGAGAGACATGAGTTTGAATTGCCATTATTTGGTGATGTTCAAGTCTCCGCCAGATAGCAGTCAAGTCAGTCACTTAGCGAAACAGATGTTTCCCGGTCATGTCAAATACATGCAAGAAGCGTTTCAGGATGCGACAAAACGCCCTTATGGCTACCTGTTATGCGACCTCAAACCGGAAACACCTACCGACTTCCGGTTGCGCACAAGCATTTTCCCTGGGGACACTCAGCTCGCCTATGTCAGAAAGGTATAAAAAAGCTCCGTCGTAGTGATTGATATCAGTTGAGTATGGTCCAGCGACTAAGAAAGAACCACGATTTTCTTAAGCTCCTCGTCAAGTGTACCCCAGCTCAACGTAAAGCAGTTTTGAAAGCAGCCGACGACGCTTTAGTAAGAACCATTAGTGAGTGTGTATTCAACGTACTTAAAGAAACAGTCCCTGTCAGTAAACCGGCAAAGAGAAAACTTCTTAAGCACAAGAAAGCCTTGACTGCTCTAGCTGAAAAGAGTACCCCGCTAAACAAGAAAAAGCAAATCTTAGTACAACACGGAGGAAACTTTTTAAGTGTTTTGCTACCTCCCGTTCTTCGAGTGTTGAGCTCGCTTCTTTGTTAATATGAATCACACAAGACGCATGGTTCTCGTTCCTGAAAACACTCCCGAACGATTGCAGCAACTCCAGCAGATATTAACACCACCTGTAAAACAAACTCTGAAAAATCTGGATAGCCAAATGGGGGATATTTTAGAAAGTAAACAACTTGGTGATGAGGAAAAGGCGAAGCTTTACAATCAGGTGTTGCAACGGTACTTGACTTATTACGATCAGAGGAAAGGCCAGCCTCTCCATGTGAAGTTAACGACCCCTAAAACAACAGAAACCCCCGAACCAGTTGAGAACGCAGAATCTACTGAGGCAGCTTCTCCAGATAACTCTCTTCCAACAGCAGTAGAGCAAGAGGTCATGAAAAGTGTACCCAAAATTTACAAAGCTGGGGCTAGACAGTTGTTGGATAAAATTAAAAAACACCAGGACGTGTTGCACTGGAATGATAAAGGAGAGCTGTTGTATGAAAACAAACCAATCCCAGGTTCTCATGTGGTCGACCTAGTCAACGACACATTGCGTCACCGAAAAGGATTTGAACCAGTGGGGTGGTCCGTGTTTGCGAGGGACCTCGCGCGAATGAATGTCCCCCTTGGTTCGTAATCCCCAACGTCAGAGTGCCATAAGAGAGTTTAAAGCAAGAGTGAGAGAGGAGAGCCCAGAAAGTCCTTCGCCTGGGCTACCCACCCCACCTGTGACGTTATCTTCTGTCAAAAAGCAGAGGCGCAGAGTCGAGAGTCCTCGCCCTCAGGCTGTTCGGTGGTTACGATTATAAATCATGACAAGAGCCTTTTTTATTGTGAAACACAAAACTTTATTTTATCATTCAATAAAATATGTTGAAAAGAAATTACATGGTGTCTGTTTACTGAACTTAGTGTTGTGCTTTTGCTCTTTGCTTGTTTACATCAGTACGATATTTCCGAAAACCTATAGGAAAATGTTTTTCAATATCGTTTTACAAGACTATCATTTTTACTTGTGTTTTTAGAAAAACGATGGACAATAGTACTTATACTTATATGCCGACTACGATATAAAGCAAAATACAAACAGTAATGTCCGCAGACTTTTGAATAGATGCTCTGTAATGTCACAGTATTAAAAGTCCACTTGTTAGAATTGTTGTTTAAAAAGGTAATAAATGTTCCTGAATATTTGCTGGGTGGTGATCCGTAAGAATCGAAAAATACTCCCTCTTGCTCCTTGGTGAAATAAAACACCACCCAATGCGAACCTGGCTTGTCACTCGTTTCCACATTGGCGATAAACAGGGCTGGGTAATGTGAAACACTTGCAGGCAGCTGGTCTGAGGGATACACGTCTTGAAACAAACCTCTTGTAAATTTATCCTTTCTCAAAATAAGGGTCAGTTGAATAGTGTCCATTTTTAGTTCGTGTAGTCGAACAACACGTTGCGGTTCCCGTCAATTTCAATCACGTTTTTGAATTCAGCGTACACGATAAGGTTAACCGTATTGGCCAGTGGTTCCTTGAAATGAAGCTCAGCGCGCAGGTTACCTTGCTTTATTAGGTCAAAATGGTCAGCTGAGCAGTGGTCTGGGGACAAGTCAAAGCAGAATGCTGTGTAACCAGAGCCATAATCGCTTCTACTGATTTGATTACCCGCATCATGGGATAGCTTTCCAGTGCCTGAGAACAGGCTTTGATATTCCGCTATTACATTTTGAGCTCTAGCTTCGTCAAATTCAAGAACAGGGGTTTCCGAGGAATTTGCTCTCCGTCCACATAGACATCCAGTTGAGTTAGATTGTGGTGTTTGAAGTTGAACGGGTTGGTACTGTAAGTTCCATTATATGCCTGAGTATCCACTAAGACTAGCACGATTCGTTTAGGAATGTGACCAAAAAAGATGTTGTCGGGGTTAAAACTGCTAAATCCTCTTGGAACAGACAGCACTTTACAACCGATTCGGCGAACCGGGTACTTGGCGCTGGAGTTTTTAGTGCAGGTGCATGGCCAAGTATAATAGAGGAGGCCAATTTCACCGGGCGAACGAACAAGATGGCTTCTGTGATTACCACCTTGAAAGTTGGAGCGGCTGCTGATGACATTAGACAAAACGAGTTCTTGGCTCGGTTCAGTTTGATTCTTAAACTCACTCCATCTAGCATCAACCGGTCTTGAAAGAAAATGTCGCTACGAATGGGCCCCATCATATCCACAATATGACTTTCTTTAGTGAAATCATAGCGAACCTTTAACCCCTTGTTTGCAGCATCGTCTGCAGCCACAGGGTTGGCAACATCCATTTTTCCAAGGGTTATCTTTGTAAAACATGGCCATAGAAAGTTGACTTGTTTTTGCTTCTTCTCCGTAGTTTAGCAAGGTTTCGATCATGGCGCGATAAGGGTAGGTATTAGTGGATGGAGAGATCAATTGCTCGTTCAAGGCAACGTCTACTTGGGAAAACAGGGAATGTAAAAACAGGTTTACGGGACCTACTTGTGTATCGGCATCTATGGCGGTTCCATTTGCTTTTGTGATCTTGGCTTTAACAAATAACTGAGTACGTGCCAAGTCCAAATACTCATCTCCGGTTCCCGAAACAAAAAATTCGATCGGACCACTGTCCGTGATGTTACTGATGGGGTGGTACTCGATCCATTGCCCTTTGGAGATAGAGGTTTGTGTTGCAGGAATCGTAAAGAGATCCAACTCTGATTTCGTACATTCCTGAGACTCGTGATGCACAAAAGCCATCGTTACTTCCTGAAAGAGAATTTCCCTTTGGGCTTCTTTTGCTGCGGGTTAGGGTTAGGGTTAGGTCTCACCCCTAGTCCACAACCATGCTGAAATCGAGCACCGTGAAACGCTGGTAAACTCCCACCTTTTTGTTTGGCTTGATTAACATAGTACTGTTCGTACAACTTGTGATTTGGAGTGTGGAGGTTTTTCATCTTTAAAAGTACTGAGGTGCACTTTGACGAAAATGAAGTGTTAACAACACTCTCCCAAACTCAAATGGTACAGACTCCCCTGTGTCTGTCTTTATATTGACTTCGACAGTTTCAAATTGCTTTCTGCTGACAGGTAAATATTGGGGGCGCAAAAATGATTTACTGACTCGCTCCCCGACCTTTCCTTCTACAGGAACAATTCGAAGCAAAGGTACCAATGCATCTCCAACATATTGCGACTGAATAAGATCACAGTAAATGAAAAGGTCGTGAAAGCCGTATTCCAAATCCACTTGTCTTTCAGCGGTAGAGGTATTAGAAATAATTTATTCTAGTGAAAATCCCAGCAGGTATCCAATGTTACCAGATAAAAGTTCTACGTTATTTTGTCGGTGAACAGTCACCTTTCTAGTAAACGTATCGTAGGAAAATGTCACATCGTCATTGAAAAGCTTTACATTCTCGACTAGCCCTTCCATCTTTGATAAGATATCTCCAATGGAAGAATAATGACCTGGTGGTACAATTAGGCCTCCCATACTCCGGACAATTCTTGGTTCCGAAGGTAGAATCGATTACCAAAATTTTCTTGGACATTATTCCAGCTGTGAGGATAGTGAATTTCCGTTAACGCTACTTCCCAGTCCCCCGTCAAGCTAACGGTTTGAGGTAAACCAACATGGTACTCCGTTAATGTGTTGCTGGGAAACTTATCGAAGCTGCTATTGCTAGGGAGATGCAGATAAAACTGCTTTACCTCCATCGTACCCTGTGTTGAAATGAACTTTTCAATCTGGGTATTCGTAATTTATTAGAAGCCACACACCATTCATTTTATTATTTCATTTTCCTTTATTCACTACACAAAAAATAAATCAATTACAATTTCAAAATATCTCTTTCTTGAACCCGAGAATCAAATTTTGGATCTTCGTATCCTTTCCATCTCACAAGATACTCTACTACTCCTTTACGCTTTCTCTTCCGCAGAATCTTCTCGACGCGGTAAACATCATCGTTCTTAATAATTTTCTGTAATTCGGGTTCATAAAATGTTCCATCTAAGATTTCACCTGCATCATCTTTTAGTTTATAAACGGGTACTTGACGAGCCATTCGCTTGTAAACAGTAAAAATTTCCTCCGTAAAATTAGGTAAGTAAGATTTTTCAAACATTCTCTTCACCTTGCTAATCCTGACGCGACCTCCCACTTGAAATTTATATCGCACAGGCTTTTGATCATCCCCATACAAAGTATCCCACACTTTAGCTTCATTCGCCTTAGTCACCTGACTCGGTTTCATTTTAATACTTCGGTGGTAAGTGTTATTGTAAGAAGATACTAACTGGGGTAATACATTGATATAGGTGAGAGTGTTTTTGGCCGTGAAATATTTGTACATCTTATTCTTAAATGTTCGGTTAAAACGCTCAACCACTGAGGCTTCGAGCCCAGAGTTAACAGTGAAAAAGGCGATGTTGTTGTCACGCAGAAATTTCTGGAACACGAGATTCTTGAACTCTGTTCCTTGATCTGTTTGTAGGGTTTGCGACCAGTAGAAAGGCTTTGACAAGTTCTTGACCTTGTTTAGTCTTCAAAGGTAACACAAACGCGTACTTGCTGAAGATATCTATACAAGTCAGTAAGTATTTATAGCCCTTGTTGTAGCGACTGAGATTTTGGAGGTCGACCAAATCCGCTTGAAATTGCTCATCTATTCCAAAACGATGACTCGACTTCTCTTGTAGCGTCTTCTTGCGGGCTTGTGAAGAGCACCCCATCACTGGTGATCGCTATGAAGGTTCAAACCCGAATGATTTCTTTTCTCTCGGTGTTTAGTTATATAGCTACCCTCGAATCTGGGTGAGACTGGGCACGAGAGATAAAATAATAGTTCCCATTCCTCCTCGGTTAATCCTAACTTATGCGCGAAGTCAAAAACACCACCAATCGTCCCCAGTTTACTTTTGAAAAGACCTCAGAGTGGAGTTCTTTCAACTTTTCTAGACCCAACCCGGTAGATCTTTAAATTTTTTGTTTAAGCTTCTCTATCTCACTTGAATACACTTTCAGTGTTTTGGCCTGTGCGCGATTCAAAGAAAAGTCAACTCGCGGCAAAGACAGAGAAAGCCCCATCACAAACAGACACCGACTCAAAATTTAGTCATATTTCCATCTCAGATCCATGATCACAACTGAATAATTCAACTGTATGCACTCTCATTAAATTATTTTATAGAAAAATTGATTTAGGTTCAGCCTCTTTGTCATACACACGAATCGCATTGGTTTCGATAACTCGTGTACTTGAGTTAAATGATTTGCTAATCGAACTAAAACTACCGGTATCGGGCAATGACGACAGACACGCTTACCTATAATGCTCACGGTACGAAGGTTCGATATCAACTGAATAAAACCGCAACGACACGAAGTTTATGACTATTGAGAACGGGCCACAGGGGCCACAGGGGGCGACAAGGACCTTGTATATCACTGTGTTTTTCCTTTACGCGGGTGATTGAATCGCGCGTGCCGCACGCACGAGCGTGCGCGCGGGTAGACAGACAACAAGCCGTGTTTAGTATATTAAACCATATTTATTTACAAACTATGAACAAATGACATTTTTTTACACATAACAAAAAAAACTCTTTATCTACAATACGATACAGAGAAAAGTCGACTCGAAGCAAAGACAGAGAAAGCCCCATCTTGACAAAGACAGAGACAAACACACACCGACTCAAAATTTTAGTCATCATGAACAAATTTTATTATTTTAGAAACAAAGCTTATTTTGAATGTCATTAATTATCATGTCAAGGTCCATTGGTGTTCGTCTTTTCTCACGGCTCTATCAGGGCATTCTATTGTTTCTTGTTGATCACTGAAATCCTTCCATTTGAGCCCATTTGGTCGGTAGTATAGAGCGTATAAAATATGGCTTTGAAGATCATCACCCTGCTGGACAACATCAAGTTCCATAGAAGCGAGGTAAATACTCGTCCACGACAATACTTGGCAGTACGCTTCCCATGATTTATCTAGTTTGAAGCCGACAGCACTGCATTACTTTCGGTAGCGTTCAGCATAGAATTCAGGTCAATTTGTTCCACCACTTCATCGTGGTAATACATCCATGCGTCATCATTATCCATCATGAGGCAAGAATGTTGGTTTTGACTTGGGTGTTGAATAGCACAACCGTCGCAGTGATTCAGCTTTTCTTGTTGGATGAGTTTGTCAATCAAAGCCGCATAAGTCAGTTAGAATACATGTCCAATAAAACTGTCTATCCTTTGACGCTGGACAATGTTTCAAGGAATATTGGTTAGAGTTAAGACTTTTTTCCGAGCAAACTGAACTTTTAAGAATGAAATCATGATTGAACGGAGAGCGCGTTTGTATGTTGAACACATAACAGATTGTTCACTATCCAGTCAGGGTTGAAAGAGCCCTATTTTTCTGAATCGTCTTGCAGTTTTTGCGACAGGTATTTCATAGGTTTGTCGATAGACAGAGAATTACAATTTCGCAAAGAAATACAACATGTTCTGGATGACTTTTTTCGAAGTGGGAACTCAATGTCTTAATAGCTTATTTTTAAAAAAGACAAAAGCTAAACGGCTAACTCTTAATTGCATTTTTTTTACACAATACCTAGTCTTAAGTTGAAGAGTTTTGCATAATCAACCCGCGGCGTGTTTGTCCAAAGACAACTATGGCTGAGAAATAATTCTCTTATGGTGGTCAGTTTTCCAACAAACTACAGCTACAACAGATTACATTTCAAAAAGTATGGTGTGAGGAAATGACGGAGAAGCAGATTATGAACCGCACGTTGATCAGCAGAACTGCCATTATTACGCAATATCTACGATTATCCTGATGCCTTATTGGAAATGAACAATTTGTTCACGCGAAGATTACAACAAAATATGTTATTTATCTCATCTGATAAAGGACCTACCTACGAACCAAGATCTAAGTTACAGAGACAATTTGGTAGACTACACGTTAAGTGATGATGTAACCATTAGCCATTACTTTATTATTTCTTGTCTACAATGATATACTCGTTGAGGTGAATAAAATAATTTGCGATGAAATACTGTGTTGTGTCACTGCTGGTCAGTTAAGGTCTTCTATTTGTAGAATGATGTCAATGCAATTGACGTCATTCTAAAAATAACCACCCCAACTGACCAGCTATACTACTGATACTGGTCGACATGCTAGCTGTTCCGCTACCGGAAGAGAATGCCGGGATCCTAGGGGGAAACCCTGGGTAAAATAGAGGAAGAGACACTTGTCTAGCAAAGGTGGAGGCCAAAAGTCTGCGATATAATGGTTATTTGAGAGCCGAGGTATTGGACGAGGTAGAGGCCTGTACAGTTGGCCACACACTGAGCTATCTGGAGGCGAGGCACCGGTCGACGCCCTGGCTGAAGCACAAGCAATAGTAAAGGCCAAGACACTTGTTGGCACACTCCACGGTGTGGACACCGAGAAAATGTCGACACGTTGGTTGACAACTTATCACAGGCGAAAGCCAAGAGGTTTGCCGACGCTAAAGCCTATGTGGAGGCCAACCTACTGGTGGACACGTTGGCTGAGTCCAAGACACTTGGCGAAACACCAGGCGATATGAACACCGACGCACTTGTCTACCTTAGCCGCACAGCAACGCACATGGCCCATAGGACCACACTGGGCGATGTGGAAGCAAATACATTAATCAACAAGTTGGCTGACACCTTCAATTACCCGAAGGTCGAGACAGTAAGAGATATTGTGGACGAGGCTGTGGTTTACACGTTGGTTGACATGGTATTAGAGAGGGAGGTAGAACGACTTGGCGCCACTCTTGACTCTCTGAAGACCGAGGCACTGGTTTACACGCTGGCTGACACGTTAGCGGAGACGAAAGGAGACAGATTTGGCGAGACACTAGGCGATATAGCGACTGAGGCAACTGACGGCACTTTAGCTGACACGCAAACATAAGCGGACGCCACAACACTCAACGAAAAAGTTGTCCATGTGGAAGTCGAGGCATTTGTCGTCACGTTGGTTGAGATACTAGCAGACGCTTAAGCTGCGATACCTGGCGGCGCACTGGGCAATGTGGAAACGAAGGCAATCATCGACAAACTGGCTGGCACGCTGCCAGGCGTGGAGGAAGAAACTTTTGAAGAAATCACTCTCCAATGTGGCGGTTAAGGCACTGGCTGGCCTCATGGCGGACACGGCAGCAGAAGCGGCAGCTGAGACACTTGGCGACAAACTAAGCGATGTGCACAACGAGGCATTAATTGCACGCTGGCTGAAAAACTTCCAGACGCTGAGGCTGACAAAGCTGATCACACACTGGGCGATCAATGGGCAGAGGCAGTAATTCACACTGTGGCTGACAACACTGGTCGACAGTGTGGCCATCCCTAATCTAAGGCATATCAAGACCCTTGGCGACAAACTAGGCAAAATTCGACACAGCTGCGGCCATACTAGCCGATTAGAAGGAAAATGCAATAGACAACACAGGCTAAAACCCTAGCAGAAGCAAAGGCAGAGACCCTTCTCGATGTGGGGACGACAGGCTCTCTCACTTTCAACACACTTTTTGACATACTTGGGGTTGCATACTTGGCCAGACCTCGAAACTGTTGACATACTAGGAAAGGTTGAGGCCGCGATACTTGCCGACACACTAGGCGATTTAAGGACGAGGCACTTGTGTTCACACCCTCGCTGACGCGCAAGCTGAAGTGGAGCTTGACAGACTAGGTGACACACAGGTTGTTGTGGAGCCAACGCACTGGTAGACACCTTCGCTGACACCTTAGCAGAGGCGAAAACCTAGACACTTTTTCACAGACTATGCGATGTGGAGGGAGTTGTACTGGTCGAAACGCTGCCTGACACTTTTGAAATGGCGGAGGCCGAGGCACTTGGCGTCACACTGGGCGATGTACACGTGAAGGCACATGGTGGACACACTGGCTGACGCACTATAAGAGACGAAGGCCCAGCCACTTGGCGACACACTGCTCGATGTAGAGGTAAAGACGCCAACAACAACACTTATTCACATGCTAGCAAAGGCAAAGCCAAGACACTTTCCAACACACTGGGCGATGTCAAGGCCGAGGCGCTGCTAAACAAGTATTCTGACAAGCTGAAAGAGGCGGGGCCTAGCAAAACACTTCTACACACACTAGGCGATTTAGAGGCCAGGGAAACATTGTAACTGCTGGCTGACATGCTTGGAGCGGAGTCCAAGAGAGGCTAAGCGATGTGGAGGCCCATACAGTAATCGAAACGCTGGCTAACACTCTACGAGAAGCGAAGGCTGAGATACTTCTTGTAACGCTAAGCGATGTGCAATCCAAGACGATGGTCGACACGCTGGCACACACGGTAGCAGAGCACACACTGGGCAGTGTGAAGATCGAGAAAGTCATCAACAGTTTTGCTAACAAGCTCGCTCATGTGGCGGCCGCAACACTTGGCGACACATTGACCTATGTGCAGGTTGAGGCAGTGGTCGACACGCTGCCTCAAACGCTTAAAGATATGCAACCCGAGGGTCTGGTCGACAGCCTTGCTGCCACGCTCGCGGAGACGGAGGGCAAGACACTGAGGCAGAGGGCAAGGCATTGGTTAAAATCTTAACTGACGTGCAAACAGAGTATGAGGCTGAGACATCTAGCGTCACACTCAACAAAGTGTAGGCCAAGGCACTGGTCGACACGACTGCAACCAGGAGCGAAGACTGAAGCTCTTGGCGAGAACCCGTGGGATGTGCAGGACGAATTACTAGTGGATATCGTGGCTGACTCTCTTGCAGAGGCAAAAGCCAAGACACTTGGCCACACAGTGGTCGATGTGAAGGCCGCAACACTGAACGACAGGGTGACTGATACGGTAGTAGAAGCAGAGGCTTGGACACTTGGCGACATACTAAGCACTGTGAAGGACAAGGCTCTGGTGGACACGCTGGCTGGCATGCTAACAGAAACGGAGGCTGCAATACTTTTCCAGACACTGGTCGATGTGGAGGCAAGGCACTGGTTTAAAACCTAACTGAATTGGAAGAAGAGGTTATCACTTGGCGTCAAACTCAACGATGTGAAGGCCATTGGACTGGTCGATACGTTGGCAAGCAGGGGAGGAGGCTAAGACACTTCTCGACAACCTGGGCGAGCAGACCTGGCTAGCCACTGGTCGACCTTCTAGGTGAAAGACCAGCTGGCAAGAAGGTCAAAAAACTTGGACGACCCACTTGATGATGTGGTCTACGAGGCACTGGTCAAGAGGCTGGTTCACACACCACTAGAGGCCGAGGCCAAGACTTTTGACGACAAACTGTACGATGTGAAGGAATAGGCACTGGTCAAGACGCTGGCAGACACGCTAGAAGAGGCGAAGAACGAGACACTTGTGATGTGATGGCCAAGGCAATGGTCGACAGGTTGGCTTAGACGCTTGCAGAGGCAGCGGCCGAAACAGTTGACGAACTACTGGGCGATGTGAAGGCCGAGGCAGGCGTTGACACACTAGCAGGCCAAAATTCCAGATACATGGCGACAGCATCGCCAAGTCAAGGCCCAGGCACTTGCAGAAACCGCAGCAACAACGCAAGCAGAGGCGCAGGCCGAGAGACTTGGCGACTGAACTGGCTCTGTAAAGCTTGGGGCACTGGAAAACAGGCTGGCTTTTATGCTATTAAAGGTAAAGCCCGAGACACCAAGTTATACACTGGGCGAAAGTTAAACCGAGGCCCTGTTCCACACGCTTCCTGACGCGCTAACAGAGGCGGAGACCTAGACACTTGGCAACACACTGGTCCATGTTTAGGCGGAGCACTTCCTAACACCCCTGGAAAAAATGCAAGCAGAGGTCCAGGCAGAGACATTTTGCGTCACACGCGACGATTCAAAGTGCAAGAAAATTTCGAAACGCTGGCTTCCACCCTATTATAG